TTTTTTTTTTTTTTTTTTTTTTTTTTTTTTTTTTTTAAAATTTTTTTTTTTTTTTTTTTTTTTTTTTTTTTTTTTTTGCATGTTACAATGTATTGTTATTTTTTTACTTTATTCTTCAAAAATGAAAGAAAAGTATACAAACATAATTGAATGTGGTATTTTGAAATTTTCACAGAATTTTAAAAGTATAAGCAAAAGATACTTTTCATCTAAGAATATTGTTAAAAAGAATTTTCTACATTTAAATTTTAATGAAAAGTTTGAAGTATTTTATCATAATCTTGATTTTATGAAATATATTTTACTAAATAATGGAAAATTGTATGAATCTCATTCAAGTGAATATGATCAATTAAATAAAATAAAAAATTTGAATGGAAAATTTATTACCATTATACTAAATAATACTTTAGATAAATATACAGGTAAAATAATTTCCAACTCAGATATTATAATTTGTGCTGATGGTGGAGCTAATAGGTTATATAATTTTTGTTTAAAATTAAAAGAAGAAAAAAATATAAATAATAAACAAGATTTAAAAGAAAGAAACGAAAAAAACAAAATTGAAATAGATACAGGTAAAAATGAAGACGTAAAAAGTATTTATATGGAAGATTTTTCAAGTAAAAGTACGAACAATTCAGATATTAATATATCAGAGATAGAAGAAAAAGATATTTTATATAAAAAAATAGATAAAAAAAAAAATGATAAAAATTTAAAAAATAATGGAGAATGTACAGATAAAAACATTTTGTATAATAAATTGGATAATATATTTATTGAACCAATAAAAAGAAATAAAAACGATTTAAATTTCCCGCTTAAAATATTACCAGATTTAGTTTGTGGTGATTTTGATAGTATAAATTCAGAAGTATATAACTATTATAAAAGCAAATCAGTTTTATTTGAAAGGTGTGAAGATCAGATAACAACTGACTTGGATAAATGTATAAATAAAATAAAAGGATACATTAAAGAAAATGATAAAATAATAGTGTTAGGTGCAACAGGAAACAGGTTTGATCAAACCTGTGCAAATATCTCATCATTGTATAAAAATATATCTTTAAATATATATTTGATAAGTGAAAATAATTTCTTATTTTTATTAAAAGAAGGAAATCATATTGTAAATGTAAATTTAAATATTTTTGAAAAAAATTGTGGAATTTTGCCAATCGGTAACAAATGTAAAGTTAAAACAGAAGGATTAAAATATAATTTAAATTATACATATTTAAGTTTTGACACCATAATAAGCTCATCAAATGAAATTGTTCAAAATGAAGTGAAAATTTTTAATGAATCTCCTGTTTTGTGGTATTCTCAGTTAAAAGAAATTTAATTTTGTATATGTGAAAAATAAAATACAAATTTTTTTTTTTTTTTTTTTTGTAATTATTCATATAATATTTCTAATACAGTTAAAATAAATTAATACATATATAATTTAATTAAAAATAATTTTATTTAATAAATATAAAAAATTATTAAAACTTTATAAAATAAATTATTAATGTGTTTTATTAAAACCAAATAAATACAATAACAAAAAAAAAAAAAAAAAAAAAAAAAAAAAAAAAAAAAAAAAAGTAAGATAATATCCTTTATAATATATAGATAGATTTAAAAAAGATAGGAATACCAACCTATAATAATTAAAATTTATTTTAATTCAATATAAATGAAAGATAAAAAAAAATATCAAAAAAAAAAAAAAAAAAAAAAACGAAATTATATATTTCATAAAAAAGGAATATCTGTATATACCTCATTTTTATTTTTTGCTTTATTTTTTACTTTCTTTGTTTCAAAAGTTTGTTCAAAATTTGTATCTTCATTATAATTACGTATGTATTTTTTTTTATTATCATTTTGAAGTATTTGATGATCATAATTGATGTCATCTGGTAAAGTTTTTGCGTTACAATTTTCTGAAGTTTTAATAAAAATATCAATTGTAAATGGATAAATATTAACTTCTTTTTTGTGAGGAATATCTAATGACAATAATGCATTAGATACTTCAATATGAAAAGTAGAACTATCTGGAATAAAAACTTTTTCTTTTGTTGTATCTTTTTTACTTTTACATATAAAGTATAAATTATTTAATGTATTTTTATCTATATATTTTTTTGGTATAATATCCGTTTCAATGGTATGCAGTAAAATACTATGTCTTCTTATTAATAAAGATAGCAATTTTGTTGATTGTGTTTTTCTAAAAGCATTATATATTAAATTTATATAAATTGGTAAAAAATGAAAAATGCATTCAAAACTTAAAAAGCTAGTAATTGCAATTGGCATCCATAAAATACCCCTTATATCAATACCGTCATTTTTTATACTTTCTTTCAAATGTATAAATAATTTATCTAATTCATCAAAATAATCTAACTTTCCTGCTGCAATAACTGCATATGCACACAAGTATTTATTAATTATATATTTATTTTTTTTTATAATCTGTTTATTTATTAAAAAATTATCCTTTTTATATAAGTTATTAATGTTATAATTACTATTTTTTAATAAATTACTTGAATAATTTTTTACATTTTTTAAATCAAAATCTTTTAAATGTTTATTAATATCAAATTTTTTCTCTCTTTCTTCTAAGTAGCTATTTATTTTTTTATAAGACATTTTTAGCAAATCTTCATCACGTATTCTAACTTTAGAAAAAGCATAAATTGTTTTAATTATGTCAATGGAAGAAAATTTTTTAAAATTTAACTTAATATGATCACAAATGGTTTCATAAAAACTTACATCTTCTAAAGATGCATCAGCATATGTATTTACAATTACGGTGATTTCATTTGGTGTATAAGTGTTTATATTATTTTGCACATATTTTGCAAGCATAAACATACAAAATTCATCAATATATTTACACGTTCCAATTGTAAATATAAAATTTGTAACTAAATAATGATGAATTAATTCTAAATTTTCACATATTAAATCAGAATGAGCATATAATATATTGTTATCTATATGACTAAATACATATTTCATAATATAAATTAACAGTATTTTAGATATTACAGAATTTTTGATAGTATGTAAATTATTCTTAATATATAAATAATTTTTTTTACTTAGTTGAAAATTATTACTTTCATAAACTAAAAAATTTGAATTTTCTTCATTTATTTTTTCATTTTCATGTAAGCAATTATTCATATTTTCTTTATTATTAAATGTTTCATTACTTACTTCATTTCCTATTTCATTACAATATGTATAATTTTTACTAGCTATATTTTCCTTTTTTTTTTTTCCATTAATATGATCATCTGTAACATATTTATTAATATCATCATCTAAATTTATCTGATAATTCCATCTGCTGTTATCACTAATTAAATTAGAGGAATAATTTTCATTATAAAAGGTTTCATCATTTTCATTTGATTGATTATTTTTATTACTAATTTTATTAATAACATTCATATAATTAGATAGTCTATTAATAATACCTATATAAGCTTCTCTGTTTTTAATTTCATTGATACACATTAATAGAATATAATCATATAAATATAAAAAGGAAATAGTATTAATTTTTGAATATATTGATTTATATATATTATTAAAAATATCAATAAATGTTTTTTTATTTATGTAATCTTTATTTTTTTGCACATTTTCAGAATTTTTATTTTTTTGTATAATTTCAAAATTATAAGAGTTTTTACTTACATTATTATTATTATTATCAATACATAATGATTTGTTGTTGTGGTGTAATATTGTTAATGTAATTAATAAATTATTCAATTCTTGCGAATTTAACATTTTATAATTTATTTTTTTAACAATATCAATAAAAATATTTTTATTGTTTTTATGAATATAATTAAAAAAAACATTAAAATCATAACTATAATGGGGATGGTTATTTTTTATATTGATAGACATAATTGGGAATATCATAAAATAATTCGTAAAATTTTTATTAACATTTTTTTCTTTATAATTCCATATATCACATTTTTTTATTTTTGAAATAAATTTATATAAGTTATTTTCAAGAAAATATTTTAGGCATTTACTATCTTCTTTGTTTTTTATAAAATCTTCTTTATTTATTTTTTCTCTTTCTATATTATGAATGTAATAAATATTGTTATTTATATTTTTATATTCATTCTTATTATTTATCTTATTATTTTCATTTATATTATTCTTCAAGTTAAAAAAATGTATTAATGAAGCTGTATTTGCTATATACTTGATAATTTTAAAACATTCTACTACTTCATTTTTTGAACATTTATTTCTTAAATTACTATTAATTAAATAATCGTAATCATTAAATATATCATTCAAATTTTTTTTGTTATAAAACAGATAGAACTTCTTTAAATCTTCTTTATTTTTAATATTTCTAATATCATTATATTTGTCATCTATTTTATTACTATCTAATTTAAATGAATAATACTTTACATTATTATATATATATTTATTATTATTCCTTATACTTTTGCTTCTTAACATTTTCTTGTTTCAATATAAATGTAAAAAAAAAAAAAAAAAAAAAAAAACATACAACATACATATATCTAATAATATATATATTAAAGAAGTGTTTTAATATATATACATTAATAATATTAAGACATTTAAAATGTATCTTTTAAGAAATTAAAAGTATATGCATATATATATATATATTTTAATTATATATTTTAATTAATTAAAAAATAATAAATAAAAAATTAACAGTATATAAGAATCTTTAATTAAAACAAATTTAAAAAAAAAAGTTAATTTATATTTTTTTTTTTTTTTTTTTTTTTTTTTTTTTTTTTAATAATAACATAAAATGATTTTCCTTACAGATTAGAATTTTTTAAAAATATAAAAATTAAAAAAATATGTAATGATATGCATATATCTGTATTAAATTTGCGTTTTTATATTTTTTTAAAAAATTTAATAAAAGAAATTATTTAAATATCAAAAATTCAAAAGTGTTTTAATAAATTATTTATTTATAAAAAATAAATTATTGTATATATTTCATTTTTATTTTTATGTTATACTTGAAGTAAAAACAAATTTTTGTAAAGTTATTAAAATATGATTTAAACTAAAGTTATTTCATTATTCTTCACTTCATTATGTTTTAATCTTAATTTATTTTTCAAATTTTATATATTGGCCTATCTCCAGGACTTTTTATATATAACATTTTATTATAAAAAGATATTTCTTTTTTTTTTTTTTTTTTAATTTGTAATATTATTCGTTTATCTGTTTATATATGTTTTAATTTTTACTTTATATAATTTTTTTTTTTTTTATTATATTTGTTTAATTTTAATTTTTTTTCTTATTATATATATGTCGACTAAATAATTTTGGACCTACAAAAAATAATGGACACAAAGATAAAATGTAACATAAAAATTACAAATAATTTAAAAGAAGATAAAAATAAGAAAAGGAAAATATTAAATATTTTTGATGATATATATAAAAATGAAGAAGCTGATGAAAAAAAAACAGAAAAAATCCAAAAAATAAGAAGTATAAAAAATGGTCAAATGCTTATAGACTCAGTTAAAGAAAAACTTAATGATTCAACTGATATATTAAGTTTAAATTTTATAAAGAATTTAGAAAAAAAATTAAATCGCATAAATAATAAAAAAAAAATTATTTATTTAAATTATCCGAAAAATGATAGTTACTCAGATTCTTCTAATGAAAGCAGCTCAAAAGAAAATATATCAGATGTAGAAATATCAGATATTACTAATTTAATTATTAAAAATGATAATGATTGTAATAATTATACCAAAAATAAAAGTGAATCATTGAATAATGAACTAAAAATTATTAGTAAAGATGACATAATACAACTAAATAAAGACAATTTAAACAAAGAAATAATAAAAGTTAATGATGAATGTGGGGATAAAAAAAACAGTATACATGATAATTACTCTAATATACTAAATTGCACTAATAAGGAAAATGATGATGAAAATAATATTATAAGTAATGACAAGAATATGATACATGATTATAATATAACAGAACAAAATTTAACATTTAAAAGAAAAACATTGTTAGATAAATTTAATAAAAATGAAAAAGAAATGATATTAAAAAATGAATTAAATTTATATCAAGATTTTAAGGAACATAATATTCAAATAGAAAATTATGGGAAGCATATATTAAGCAAAATGGGTTATAATGAAGATATATATAATAAATATATTAATAAGTATTATAATGAATATAGTGATAATAATTATTTTGATAAAATTTATGAATATTTTCAGTCAAGAGAATTCCGCTTTACTGGAATAGGAGCAGAAGAAGAAATGAAGGAAAATATGGAGATAATAAAAAAAGAAAAATATGATAATAAAAATGAAGGAGTAGAAGATAAAAAAAAAATAAAAGATATTGAAAAAAAAAATTTATTTACTAATAATTTTAAAGATTGTAAAAATAATGATTTAGAAGAAACAGATGAATCAAATAGAGATGTTGCAAATAATAATAATAATAATAAATGTGAATTAAAAAGCAATATCATAGAAAAAACTAAAAAAGATAAAATAGAAGAAAAAAAAAGTGGTAAAAATAATAATTTTTTTGAAGGGTTAATAGTTAAAATAAATTTAAAAACTCATGAATTTTATAAAAGAAAAGGAATTATAATATATAAAAAAGAAAAAAAAGATATTAACAAGTGTTACTATGGTTTGTTACTATTTAAAAATTATAAATATATTATTCCATACAAAAAAATAATTAAAGAAAAAATAAAAGAATTTCAAAATGAAAAACAAGACAATTATAATTACTTTTGGGAAATAATCCTCAAAGATTTAAAAAAAAAAATAGAACTAAACAAAGACTATATAAATAATAAAGAAAGAAAAGAAAAAAATAAAGAGTTTGAAATATGTGAAGTGAATTCAAAGTACTTAGAAACAATTATAAATAATGATTGCTTAAAATGCAAAATAGTAAATAAGAATCTAAGTCATCCAATAAAAAAAACCTCTCTATATAAAGAAACAGTAGAATTAAAGAAAATAAAAATGAACTATGCATATATTCAATTTAGAAAAAAATATATATTAAAAGTTTCATTAGATGATATTTGTCAATATATAAACCATATATAAATCTTTTATACTCATGGTATCATATATATATATATAGATATATATTTTTTCTTTTTTTTTTTTTTTGTTTTTCTCATTTTGAATTAAATTTATTTTAATATACTTTTTTATATAATTTTTTATATTTTTTTTTATATCATGTTTTACTTTTTAATTTTTTTTTTCCTTGCTCTTTCATTTAATGAAAATATTCTTAATAGATATATTTTCATTATATAATTTTTGTTTTAAAGTAGTAAATGAAGTTTTTAATTTTTAAGCAAATTTTTAAATTTTTTTATGAGAAATTTAGTTTTTTTTTTTTTTTTTTTTTTTTTTTTGTTATTT